CTCTCTCTCTCTCTCTCTCTCTCTCTCTGTGTCTCTGTCTCCCTCTCTCCATCCCTCTCTCCTAGCTGACATGGGTTTAGCAGCTTTCTTCTGCCAAGTCCTCCTGTCATGATATTTCTGCCTTGGAGCAGCTAACCATGTACTGAAACCTCTAAAACCATGAGCCAAAATAAAATAAACCTTCCCTTCTTTAAATTGTATATTACTTTGTCCCAGCAATGAAAAAGTCAGTATCATCTATTTTCCTCTAGAGAAGCATAAGTAACACAAGGAGTGATGAGAATTTAGACTAGGGTTTATTCTTCTGTTTGTGGTACTGGGAATGGAACTAAGGGCCACACACATGCTAAGCAAGTGCTCCATGCTCAAGCTATTCACCCAGCCTAGAGTATGATTTCTTTTAAGTTCATTCTGTTTTTTAATGTAGTATATTAAAAACTAGTGACTTTTAAGTCTAAAATTTCTTCTATAAGAAAAGAAGAAATAATAAAGAACATTAAAACTTCCACTATCAAACCTTTGTAAGGACATTACACAATAGTTCTATTACATTAGAAAATTGGGGTAGTTTCTAGTAAAACTAAATATGAATCTACCATATAAATATCAGTGCCACTTGTAGGTAGTTACTCAATAGAAAAATAAACAGATAAATGCAAGAAGATTGAAACCAAAAATTTCAGAGCAATCTTATTCATAGTATCCACAACCAGACACAGCTCAAAAGTATATTAACAGGAGGGGATAAGCTATTGTATGTCCATAGGATAGAATATACTCAAAAATTGAAAAAATAATACCTATTACTACTAAAACTAGTAATACCTAAATGTGCATAAATCTCACAAAATTATATTAAGCAAAGTTAGCCAGACACATAGACAAGTGCTCCATGGCCAAGCTACACACCCATTCTACAGTATGGCTTTTAAATTCATTCTGTATGATTCTGCTTAATTCCAAGAACAGACCAATGTAGTTCATGATGATAAAATTCAGAAACCAAATTTACTGGCGGTGCTTTGGGGATGACTGAAGGGAATATTGGAAAATGCTAAGAAGGAACTTTTAGGGGTAAAGGAAATATTCTGTATCAGGTGGACATGCATACACAAAGTTGTCAAAACTCAGTAAGCAGAACACTTAAAATATGACTTTTATCTTATGTTACCCCTACTTAATATTTTAAAATTTTGATGCTTTTGGTCAAAAGTCATTATGAGTTTTGAGACAATGCCTATATCAGGAGAATCTCTAAAGAAAGATTAGATCCAGAATAGCAGCTCAGTTTTATATAACTGCCCAGGCAAGGAATGATTTTTCTACAGTGCCCCAAAG